GTACATATCCCTAAGCCAGAGCGGCCGTCTTAAGAAAAAGCTACCCTAGAAGATAGAAAGGGAAATATTAATTTTGCATGTCTTCTGCTTTCTCTGGCCACAGCAATGAATCCTGCTCCAATGTACCTGAGTCATACTTTTCGGTGAGGATGTCCTGTGTGGCAGACATCTGGAAATGCCCCTGGGGAGACAAAGGCACAAGACAGTGAGTGATGCTGCTGTTTCCCACGTCTCTCACATTGTACTTCTCTGGTCTTAATTAGGACTAAATGAGTCCCTCAGTCCAAAATCACAGGGAGCAGAACCACTGCAAACCACATACCTGGGGTCTTGAAAATAATTCCATGCAGGTGGGACTTTTAGAAGCTCTCCCTGTCTGTCCAGAAGGGCCCCACAATATAGCTGGAGGGACTTTGTGTATGGCTCAGCATGGAGCACGGGGAGGATGTTCAGTCCCAAGTGCCCTTGTACAGTGAACAAATGGCACAACCATGCTAGGCAGAAGCATTTTACATCAGTCCCCTTCGGACTTGGTCTCAAGGGCATCATTTGATGGGGGGTGGAGGATGAGGTCGCTTTTTTTTTCTAGATGCTTTATTTGCTTTATTCTATAAGTTGAATCACCTCAAGCAAGTGCCTGAGTGCAACTAGCCAAGTTGTCTATCTCATAGATCTTCATACAGCAGGCTGTCGCTGGTGAGTGAGTGAGCTGTGACATCAGCTTAAAGGACAACATATTCTTTTGAATGTGAATAAAATAGAAAAAGCCAGAGTGCATTGTGTGACCATGGGGCAAGACACTCTCCCTTTCTCGTTCTCAGGTTTCCTATCACAAAGGACAAACTACTGTCTAAAGTCTCTCCTATTTCTTTCTTTCTTTCTTTCTTTTTGAGACCAGTTTCGCTCTTTTTGCCTAGGCTGGAGGGGAAATGGCATGATCTTGGCTCACTGCAACCTCCACCTTCTGGGTTCAAGCGGTTCTCCTGCCTCAGCCTCCCAGGTAGCTGGAATTATAGGTGTGTGACAGCATGCCTGGCTTATTTTGTATTTTTATTAGAGACGGGGTTTCATCATGTTGGTGAGGTTAGTCTCCAACTCCCGACCTTAATTGATCCACCTGCCTCGGCCTCCCAAAGTGCTGGGATTATAGGTGTGAGCCACCTGGCTTGGCCTTCCTAGTTAAAATTCTGTGAGGTTTGTATAAAAGGAATAGAATGAGAGCCCAAAAACCAGTATAATGAAAAAGTAGTGTTTCCCCAGTTCTTGGATCCAGTCAAAAAAGAAAGGAAAAAAAAGAAAAAAGAGAAAAGTAGTGTTTCCTGCCACTTTAGAGGAAGGACTCACATATTCTTCCTTCCATCAGCCTTGATGGAGACTAGCGCCCTCACTCCAACACCAGGTGGCCTTCCCTGCCCCTTCCCCAGAGCCTCCAAGAAGACCCCTAGCCTGCCACCATCAGCAGGAACAGGCACCAAAACCTTTCCCCTTCCTGTCACTTCCCACCTCCCCAAAGGGTTGGGGACATCAGCTGTGTCCCTGTTAGTTCCATCCAGCTCAGCTTTGGCTGGGGAGCTAATTTCAGGGGAGTCAGGCTAAGCATTAGGGTAAGTAATTATTCTTCCTGTCTTGGGTAGTTTCCTCCCTGAAAAATGAGGACAGAGTTCTAAGCTTTCCTCTATTTCTTAAATTATAATTTAAAAATTGCTGGATTGGCTGGGTGCAGTGTCTCACACCTGTAATCCGAGCACTTTAAGAGGCTGCGGCGGGTGGATCACGAGGTCAGGAGTTTGAGACCAGCCTGGCCAACATGGTAAAACCCTGACTCTACTAAAGATACAAAAAATTAGCCGGGCATGGTGGTATGTGCCTGTAATCCCAGCTACTCAGGAGGCTGAGGCAGCAGAATCACTTGAACCTGGAAGGTGGAGGTTGCAGTGAGCTGAGATTGTGCCCTTGTACTCCAGCCTGGGCGACAGGGCGAGACTCTGAATTAAAAAAGAAAAAAAAAAAAAAAAATCACCAGACTAATATTTACCTTCGGAATGCTTCTTCATCGTCCTTTGGTGCCCTTCTATGACGGTATATCTGTTTTGGAAGAAAACACAATTAAGATTACCCATCACAACCACCACTATCTCCAAATCTGTATTTATTCCTTTTATTCATTATAAGTCTCATCCACCTGAGGACAGAACTTTTTGGAGACAGGAATTGTATGCTGTTTACAGTGCTTTGATTCTTCCACAGTACACTCATCCTTGATATCTTGTAGGGGATTGGTTTTAGGATACTGCCCCCACACCATACCAGAATCTGTGGATGCTCAATCCCTTACATATAATGATGCAGTATTTGCATATAACCAACATACATCCCCCGTATACTTTATTTAGAGACAGGATCACACTGTGTTGCTCAGGCTGGAGTGCAGTGGCACAATCACAGCTCACTGCAGCCTCAGCCTCCTGGGCTCCAGTGATCTGTCTAACTCAGTCTCTTGAGTAGCTGGGACTACAGGTGCACACCACCATACCTGATTTTTTTATTTTTAGTAAAGACCACATCTCACTATGCTGCCCAGGCTGGTCAAGCGATCCTCCCACCTTGGCTTCCCAAAGTGGGAATTACAATTACAATCCCACACTTGGGATTACAAGTGTGAACCATCATGCCTGGCCCCATGTACTTTAAGTCATCACTAATAAAATGTATAGATATTGTACAATGGTGACAGTTGTTCTGCTGTACTTTCTATTTGTATTTTTATGCTGTTTTTTTCAAATATTCAGCCTCATCTAGTTGAATCTGAAGATGTGGACCTGCTGATGAAGAGGGCTGACTGTATCTAACTTACGGTCTTACATGCAGCTGGCACTTAATATATTTTATTGACTGTTTTAGATAAAATTCAACAGATAATTCCTAATAAAAACTCTTAAAAGTAGGAAAAAAAGGAAACCCGAGTCCTTCCTCTAAAATGGCAGGAAAACCAGCCTGGGCAACATAGCAAGACCTTGTCTCTACAAAAAAATTTTTTTAATTAGCTGCTGGCCTATAGTCCCAGCCAATCAGAAAGCTGAGGTAGGAGGATCCCTTAAGCCCCAGACTTTGAGATTACAGTGACTGCTCTCCAGCCTGGGTGAAAACAGGCTCTGAAAAGGAAAAAAGGAAGGAAGGAAGGAAGAGAGGGAGGGAGGGAGGGGGAGGGAAGGAAGGAGAGAGGGAAGGAAGGAAGGAGGGAGGGAGGGAAGGGGGAGGGGGAGGGGGAAGGAAGGCAAGGAGGGAAGGGGGAGGGGGAGGGGGAAGGAAGGCAAGGAGGGAAGGAAAGGAGGGAGGGAAGAAAGTAGAGTATAACTATTGGAAAGGAAGAGAGAAAACTATCATTATTTGCATATGAAATGATAAATATTAGACAGCCAAAAAAGCCTAAGAGAATCAACTAACATTCTACTGGAAGTAATATAAGAATTCAGTATGGTGGCTAAATACAAAATCAAGAGATCAGCATACAAAAATTTTTTTTTAAAAAGATGGCTACCTCAGATACTTTTCCCATGTACCACCAGTAACTAATTAGAAAATGGAAGTAAGATCCCATTTACAATAGCGATAAAAATGTATGAAGTATTTAAGAACAAAAATACAAAGATCTTTTATCTAACAGAAGATGTGTAAGATCTGTATGATGGAAACAGACTCTTCTGAAAGACATTCAAAAAAATGAATACATGACAAGAGATGTCACGTTCCTAGAATGTTGTACAGATGTTACTTGTCAAATTAATCCGCAAATTTAGTGTGATCCTATTCAAATCCCAAGACAGTTTTTGGTGGTGGCTATTTTTGAGACAGGGTCTTGCTCTTCTGCCCAGGCAAGAATGCAGTGGTATGACCACAGCTCACTGCATCCTCGACCTCCCAGGCTCAAGCAATCCTCCCACTTAAGCCTCTGAAGTCTCTCATATGGTGTCGAAGAAATGGTGACAAATCTCACAAAGGGAGTAGGCTCAAAAGGGCTGGAGTATTCAGGGAAGGTGTCAAGAAGAAAGACGAACTTGAGATGGCTTTTGAGAGATTCATAGGATTCCCTCAGGCAGAGTGAAACAAGGGAATTTTAAATGGACAAAGGTACAGACAAAAGCAGAAATGGGCATGGTGTGACCAGGGTATGGTGAGGGGCTGCTCTGGCTGGAATGGAGGGCTGCCACAATAATGGAAATGGTGAGTGAGGGAAATAAAGTTGGATTGGCAGCATAGCGTCAAGGTTGCCAGCTTATTAACTCACTCTTCCAATATGCTAGCACTGGCCTGTTGGGAAAAGTAATACATCATGTAATCGAACAAAAGGCAAACAGAGGCAAGCTCTGGGAATGGGCGCTATAAACAGGACTCGCCCCAGAGTGGCCAGATACAGGCTTTAGATATGTAATGCAGGGTGAGCATCCCTAATCCAAGGAGAAATGTCTCATATGGTGTCTGAGAAATGGTGACATCTCACAGAGAGCCTGGGCTCAGGAGGGCTGGAGTATGAGACATTCCCCCTCCCCTGTGAACTTAAATAAGTGGCCAACTACTTTTTTAAAAGATGGCTACCCTGTAGTGCTTTAACTGGACCTATTTAGAAAATGCCCTACACACTGGAGAAGGAAGACACTGTGTGAGTGTGGTAAGTCTACAAGACGAGACCTCTCTTTTGCCTTGTCCTTCCTCTCCAGGGTGATGACAGCTCTGTGAGGGTGGAGATTATACATTTCTCTTCATTTCAACAACAAGGAAGTAAATTAGTGACAGAGTACATTCAATTGTCGACATAGTTTTGGGTGGGAGAAATTTTGCCATTATATCAACTTAATTTCTTAAAATAGTCTAGTGGGATTAACTTAATTTCAATTGACAGAAATGTCCTGGAAGTGACGATCCTTTAAAAATCCTGGAATATACATTACAGTAAAAGAACAAAGCATACTTCGGCCTTAAACAACTCAAGGAGAATGTCAAGTAGTAGTAGGTGGGAAAGTGGCTTTGATTTTCAGTTTGTGGGTTCTGAATCTACACAAAGACAGGATTGCATTCTGAAAGCCTGAATTAAGTATTGTCCTTACCTGAATGAGACAGAAAATGATGATTATAATTGTTACAATTACAGTCACAGATACTGCCAGGATGAGTATGTTGCTGAAGCCATATCCTGGAACAACTTTAGTGTGCTAAAAAAAAAAAAAACAATTTTTTTAAGAAAACAAAGAGATAGGATGAAAGCTAACTATTCAAAACCCCAGTATTCCAAGTGAGTAGCTTACAGGTTCTTTTTTATTTTTTTTGAGACAGGATTCCACTCTGTTGCTCAGGCTGAAGTACAGTGGTACAATCACGGTTCCCTGTAGACTTGACCTCCCTGGGCTCAGGTGATCCTCCCACCTTAGCTAGCCTCCTGAGTAGCTGCGACTACAGGCATGTGTCACCACACCTAGCTAATTTTTGTGTTTTTTTGTGGAGACAGGGTTTCACTATGTTGCCAAGCTGGTCTCAAACTCCTGACCTCGAATGTTCCACCCACCTTAGCCTCCCAAAGCGCTGGGATTAAAAGCATGAGCCACCTGGCCAAAGTTACATGGCCAAGACAAGCTATGGCCTGTGAGTCCCAGGTTCTCTTGTGTTGGCACTTCCCTGACATATGCTAAATGATGAGAAAGTCCGGGTCTCACCTTTCTGTGTGGTCCTCACCTCACTTGACCTCTGCTCTTTCTGTTCACTCTGGGCTTCCGTGTTCTCGTTGATATAGTTCTCGGTTTTCCACTGGTCCGTATCCCATTCTGCCTTGGATGCCTTTACTTCTTGCCGTTCACTGAGAAGCTTCATCAGGAGGCCTGTCCTGGAGATGAGCTTAGCACAGGCTAATTGCACTTGGGTCTCAGAGCAGTCCATCTTCAAGGTCCGGATAACATGAGATATGAGCCCTCTCACGTTGTTGTCAGGGATGAGGGACCGTAGCTGCTGGTTTAGCTGCATTTCAAACTGATCACCTGGGGATGAGAGCAATGGGTAATTGTTTTTGGGCTTGGGAAACAGGTCAGTGCCCAAGTCATTGTATTCCCATTTTATTTCACGGATTTGTTTAACAGTTGGCTCAAGGTTGAACGCAGTTCCAGTGGAATCTGCCTCAGGAGGATTATTGTATGTTGTGTCTTCAGAGATGGTGCCTTCTGGCATAGCGGTTTCAATGGAAGGAGCAAAAAGTTTTCGAAAATAATTTTCTTGAGATGAAGAAGCCCCTTCTGAAGGGGAATTTATGAGGCTCTTTGCTGCAGAGAACAGAGCCTTTAGACTGTTTTTGATCTCAAATTGGGCTTTTGCAGATGTGGAGGCGGAGGGCCTGCCCATGGAGAAGGGTTTCAGCAAAGAGGAGACCCCTGTCTTATGCTCTTGGGTCAACAAAGGCTTGGTGTAGATGGTGTTTCCCACTAACTTCTTGGGCCTCTGCACCAGGTGAGGCTGTTCCAGTTCCCTTGGGGCTGCACTCCCAAGACTTTTTCCTTTGGCAGTGTTTTCCACAAATGCCTGGGCACTCTGTTCCCTCCTGATGCTCTGCTTTCCCACCTCTTTGAAGTGCCTTTTCTGGATGCTCCCTGGGCCCATGAGGACTGTGTTTGCTCTCTCCAGGCTTTTCCCTACACTTTGAATTTTTTGCCAGGCTGTTTTCCTGTGGTTGGGCAGTTTCTAATTTGGTCCCAAAAATTGGCCTTTTAAATTTGGGACCTAAAAGCCTGGACTGTACAAGCATGGCAGTTTTTTCTTCCCTTTTAACCTCATCGATTTTTTCTTGAATTTTTGCATCCAACACATTTTCCAGAAAATACAGCTTTCTCAATTTATTTTTGTAAGTTGAGTTGTTGGATGCAGGTTGAAGAGAGAGGCTCTTTATATTGTTTTTCAAAATACCCAGGGGCCTGTCACCATCTTGTGAACCTGAAAAAAGCAGTTTAATGAACGGTAACAACATTGCCTCCCCATCGTCTAGATTTCCCGCCGAGAAATAAGGCAAGATATAATTTAGTGCACTGATAACATCACTTTCATCATTGATGTCTAGCTGCTCACTCCCAAAGCCTGACAAGTTGATGCCTTTGCTGTCTGAGGGTGTCTCTGGCTCAATAGTCAGCTCAGTGCTCGTGTGCTTCTTCCGGGCTTGTAACACCTTCATGAACGCTCCTTCGGGATTCACTATAGATGCTTTTTCAAGACAATTTTTGGTGTTTGTTAGACATGCACTGTTGCAATGCAGCTTGACTGTCTTGCAGGCAACCTCAATGCTATTTTTAAATTGGCAGAGGCAGCAGGCCATATGGCTAGGTAAGATCCTATAGATAAAAACACAGAACAATAAATTAATGGTGAAGGGGTTTCTTGAGTAGGTAAAGGAGGCAGACCAATGCTACCACAGAGCTGTGTAAAAAGGTGTTATTGAGGCCTATGGACTGGACAGTTGGGTAGGAACCAGAAGGCCACAGGAAGGAGGGCAGAGATGTACAACAGAAGGGTAAGCATGGCAGTGAGTATGGTGTGCCTAGAATAAATGTGGTTGGGATTAGAACTGGTTGACACTGATCAGTAGTTTAATTCAGAAGTATCTCTTCCCAACTCAAATATTTCACTTTGGGCTGAAAGTCCACAGGAAGAAGGTAGAATTCTAAGAAGAGTCTGAATAAGCCCCCAACTTCTGTAGTCCCTTTTTCAATTCCTGTTGGGAGTGAAAAATTAATTAGACATTCTCTGGGCATTAAAAACAGCTTAGTCACTTTCGGAGGCTGAGGCAGGTGGATCAAGAGAGGCGGGAGGTCAAGAGATCGAGACCATCCTGGTCAACATGGTGAAACCCCGCCTCTACTAAAAATACAAAAAATTAGCTGGGCGTGGTGGCGCGTGCCTGTAATCCCAGCTACTCGGGAGGCTGAGGCAGGAGAATTGCCTGAATCCAAGAGGCAGAAGTTGCGGTGAGCCGAGATCAGGCCATTGCACTCCAGCCTGGGTAACAAGAGTGAAACTCTGTCTCAAAAAACAAAAAAGAAAAAAGAAAATAGCTTAGTTTAACATGTATTGTGGGGTAAAAAATAACAGAGATTTCATTGGCCAAATCTGGATGGACATTTGAGCATTCAGAAGAATAACAATAAGCTACAACATAACTAACATAAAGAACAATCCATGAAGAATGGTATTCAAAAAGAAAGAGGGGGTGTTCTTCTTTAATGAAATAATGCCAGCTAGTAAATGCAGAAGGAATGACAAAATTTTAAAAAGTGTCACTTTGCACCCCAATGTAATAAAAATTGATTTAGACAAGGATTATTATTGATACACAGTTGGGTAAAAAGACACTTGTGAACAGGATCTTCACTGATTTCAAAGTACCTCCCCACAGATTATTTATTAATTACCAAGGGGAAAATTATTTTTTATTTATTTTTTATGAGACAAGGTTTCACTCTGCCACTCAGGCTGAAATATAGTGGCAAAATCATAGCTCATTGCAGCCTCGACCGGGCTCGAGTGATCCTCCAAATTCAACACCCTGAATAGCTGGGACTATAGGCTTGTACCACCACACCCAGCGAATTTTCTTTTGTATTTTTAGTAGAGACGGGGTTTTACCTTGTTGTTCAGGCTGGTCTAGAACTCCTGGACTCAAGTGATCTGCCCACCTCAGCCTTCCAAAGTGCTGGGGTTCATGTGTTAGCCACTGCACCCAGCAAAATAACTACAATGAATAGATCTCGAAGATCACCTTAATCAAGTGATCAAACTTAGCATTATGGTCCACCTGTGGTCACGAGGCAGGAAGGATGTATCACCTATGCAGTATTCTTCCCAAAAATGCTTAACTTGAATCTCATCCTGACGAAACAGACAAATCCAGATTGTGGGACAATTTACAAGACAGCTATCTTTGACTCTTAAGAAATGTCAGTATCATGAAAGATTAAAAAAAAAGTAGAGTAATGGTTTAGATTAAAGGAAATGAAGACATGACATGCAGTGCCTGACCTTTGATTGGATTCTGTACTATTTTTTCATCTTTATGGTATGTTTGAGTTTTTTTCAAAATATAAATTTGAGCAAAAGAGATACCAAGATAATTGATTATTGCTATGGCTTATTGGGGGCAGTTTTAGAGAGATAAAAACAACCTCTGTTAACTGGAGTAAATCTCAAGGTTAATCTTAAGCAGTATAGCATGGTCATTAAGAATACAGATTCCACAGCCAGACTAGGCTTAAATCCCAGCTCCACTAATAATCTGAATTTGGGCAAACTGCTTAATCTCTGTTCCTTGGCCTTGTCATCATAGTACCTACCTCTCATGAGTTTTGAGGATTAAATGAATCAATACCTGAAAAATGCCTGGCACACAGTGAGTGCTCAACAAATGTTAACTACTGTAATTATTACATTGCAGAGGCTGTGGGGCCCTTTTCTGGGTCCTTCAAAATGATGACTTTATCAGGACCTCATTAAAACTGTGAAAACAGAGGAGTGTTTCATGGATATATGAAGTCTATGAGTTGGGAGTACAACGTATATACTTTTTTTTTGTTTGTTTGTTTGTTTGACTATCTCCAGTAATGGGTATAAGCAAACGTATAGAGTGTTATATTAAAACTGCATCCAGTAAGCTGGCCTGACACAGCTTTCAAACCTATAGAGAAATAACCACTAGTGACTAGTAGTGTTCCTTTGGGTCCAGTGGAAGCCTTTGATCTTCATATAGAAAGAGTGGACCCAGAACCATAACCTAGCATTTTACTTATATAACAACCTTAACTCTGACACGAAGGTGTTTCTTGTTTGTTTTGAGGCAGGCTTTCACTCTGTTACACCGGCTGAGTGCAGTGGTGATATCTCAGCTCACTGCAGCCTCTGCCTCCTGGGCTCAAGTGATCCTCCCACCTGAGCCTCCTGAGTAGCTAGAACTACAGGTGTGTGCCACCATGCCCAGCTAATTTTTGTATTTCTTGTAGAGATGGGGTTTCACCATGTTGCCCAGCCTGGTCTCAAACTCCTAAGCTCAAAAAACCCTCTCTCCTTGGCCTCCCAAAGTGCTGGGATTACAGGCATAAACCCAAAGTTTTTGTTATTATTTTCATGCCTTCAACTTCTTATTTTAAACATTTTCTTTTTTTCATTTAACCTTAGGATGGCTGGGAAACATTTTCAAATGGTGTGATGAACACCTCTATAACTTCCATCTGGAATCAACAGTTGCTTTTTCCTTGCTTTTTTTTTTTTTTTTTTTTTTAATTTCCCACCTAACACCAACAGTTGCTAATACTTTGCCACATTTGCTTTCCATGTATGTATGTCTACACATTTTTCTGGACAAAACATTTGAGAGTTAGTTGCAGATATAATGAGCCTTCACCACTAAATAATTCAGTGTGCAGCCCCTAAGAACCAAGGCATTCTCCTCCATAACCAGAATACTATTATCACCCAATGAAACTTAATATTATCATTGCCTACTATGTAGTCCATATACAAATTTTCACAATTGTCCCAATCATATCATGGCTTAAAAAAACTCAGAATCCAATCAAACATCAGACATTGCATTTAGTTTTCATGGTTCTTTAGCCTCCTTAACTGTTCCCAGAACTGTTTTAAAGTATACTGACAAATCTTTGAGACTGTAAATGACCTGAGGTATAGATTATTCTTACTTGAGAATAGTAATTTTCCAATATGCATTAAAGATCATTACACATGAGCCAAGACTCAAATGAGCTGGCCTACTTCCTTTGTATATAAATGTGTCAACTCCTGAAGACTCCCAATAATGAACTACCATAGGGCAGTTAGTTCAATGTCTTTCGGGTCTTGATGACAAATGGTTACAGAGAATAGGAGCACTTTTCTTATCCACTAATGGTAAAGAAAAAAGCAGACAGAACCTCACTATATTAGAGAACTAAGTGAGAAAGCTAGTTGATGAAACGACTTCATCCAGAGACGAAGGGATCTAGCTGACATGGAAGATGCTGCAGGAGGCTGAGGAAAATGAGGCTAGAGCAATAAAACAGATTTGACAATGTGATCAAGATAACAAAGTGACCTGACAAAAATGAATGCAGCAATGCTAAATGAAGGGCCCATTCCATGCTAATCTTGTATAATGCGCTCAACTAGCCTTAGCACATCTGACTTTCTATTTAGCTTGCCATTTTGTGTGTTGGGGCATGGGTGGCACAATTTAAGTTGCAGTAAGTTGTGTAACAAACTCACAATAGGGCCCTGCAGATATATACAGGGTCATGCTCTGTCACCCAGGCTGGAGTGCAGTGGTGCCATCTTGGCTCACTGCAACCTCCACCTTATGGGTTTAAATGATCCTTCCACCTCAGCCTTCCTAGTAGCTGGGACTTACAGGTGTATGCCACCACACCTAGCTGGTGTGTGTGTGTGTGTGTGTGTGTGTATGTATATATAATTTTAACTGCAAAGAAGGCCAGGCACAGTGGCTCATGCCTGTAATCCCAGCATTCTAGGAGGGTGAGGCAGGAGGATCACTTGAGGCCAGGAGTTTGAGACCAGCTTGAGCAACATAGACCTCGTTTCTACTAAAACGAAAAAATAAATTGAAAAAAATAAAAAATACCTCACATCATATATGCAAATTAACTCAAAATGATCATAGACCTAAATGTAACTATACAATTTCTGGGAGAAGACATAAAAGAAAATCTTCTTGACTTTGGATTAGGCAACAGGTTCTTAAAGATTTCTTAGGTAAGGAAAAAGCACAAGCCATGTAAGAAAAAATTGCTAACTTAAAGCTTATAAAAATTAAAAACTTCTGCTCTTCAGAAAACACTTTTACTTTTATTATTTATTTTTCATTTTGAGACAGAGTCACACTCTGTAGTCCAGGCTGGAGTGCAGTGGTGCTATCTCAGCTCACTGCAACCTCCACCTCCCAGGTTCAAGCATTTCTCATGCCATCAGTCTCCTGAGTAGCTGGGATTACAGGTGCCTGCCATCACTAATTTGTGTATTTTTAGTAGAGATGGGATATTGCCATGTTGCCCAGGCTGGTCTCGAACTCCTGACCTCAGATGATCCACCAGCCTTGGCCTCCCAAAGTGCTGGGATTACAGGCGTGAGTCACTGTGCCCAGCCAGAAAACACTTTTAACAGAATGAAACAACAAACCACAATCTGAGAGAAGGATATTTACTAAACACATATCTAAAAGGCCTTTTTTTAAAAAAAATTTTTATTTACTTATTTAATTGTTGATACAGCATCTCACTCTGTGATCCAGGCTGGTGTGCAGTGGTTATCATGGCTCACTGCAGCCTCGACCTCCCAGGCTCAAGCAATCCCAAAGTGCTGGGACCACAGGTATGCACCACCATACCTGGATTGTTTTTATAGTTTTGGTAGAGATGAGGTTTCACCATATTGCCCAGGTTGTCTCAAACACCTGGCCTCAAGCAATCCTCCTGCCTCAGCCTCCCAATGTGCTGGGATTATAGGCGTGAGCCACTGCACCTGGTCCCTGAAAGGACTTGTATCTAGAGTCTATAAAGCACTCTTAAAACTCAATAATAAATAATCTCTCATGGAGGGGAAAAAAACCTCATTAATAAAAGATTAATACTCAATTAAAATATGTGAATAGATTTGAACAATTTAGTAAAGAAGATATTTGCACATGAACAGACATTCAACATCACTAGCTATTAAAGAAATGCAAATTAAAACCACAATGAGATTCCACTACACATCTAGCAGTAGAAGGGCAAACATTTCTTTAAAAACTGAAATACAAGAATCTGCTGGGCCGGGCCAGGCATGGTGGCTCATTCATGTAATTCCAGCACTTTGGGAGGACAAGGTGGGTGGATCATGTGAGGCCAGGAGTTTGAGACCAGCCTGGCCAGCAAGCTGAAACCCTGTCTCTACTAAAAATACAAATACTAGCTGGGCGTGGTGGTGGGCTCCTGTAATCCCAGTAACTTAGGAGGCTGAGGGAGGAGAATCCTTTGAACCTGGGAGGGGGACATTGCAGTGAGCTGAGATCGTGCAGCTGCACTCCTGCTTTGGCAATTAAAAAATTAAAAAAAAAAAAAATCAGCTGGGCTGGGCATAGTGGCTCACCCCTCCCAGCACTTTGGGAGGCCAAGGCGGATGTATCACTTGAAGTCAGAAGTTCAAGACCAGCCTGGCCAATATGGGCAAACCCCATCTCTACTAGAAATACAAAAATTAGCTGGGTGTGGTGGTGGGTGCCTACAGCCACTTGAGGGGCTGAGGAAGGAGAATTGTTTGAACTCAGGGGGTGGAGGTTGCAGTGAGCCAAGATAGTGCCACTGCACTCTAGCCTGGGGATAGAGCAAGGCTGTGTCGAAGAAAAAAAAAAAAAGAATCTGCTAAAGTTATGGAACAACTGCAACACTCACAACGCTGGTGGAAATGTAAAATGGCACAGACACTTTAGGAAACAGTTTAGCAGTTTCTTAAAAAGTTAAATATGCACTTAGCATGTGAACAATCCAAATCCTAGGTATTTACCCAAAAGAAATGAAAACATAGGTTCACACACAAAGACCTGTATATGAGTGTTTTTAGCAGTTTTATTCATAATTGCCAAAAAATTGAAAACAACCCAAATGTCCATACATTGATGAATGGATAAACAAATGGATACATCCACACAACTGGAATACTACTGAGCAATGAAAAGGAGTGAACAGTTGTCCCTCAGTGTCTGCAGGGGATTGGCTCCAGGACCAGCAAAGTCCATAGAGGCTGAAGTCTTTTATATGAAATAACATAGTATTTGTATATAGCCTTGGGTATACTTTAAATACCTAATACAGTATAAATGGTATGTAAATAATTATACCGTATTTTAAAATTTCTACTGTTTTTATTATTTCATACATTTTACTTTTTCCAAATACTCTCCATCCATGGTTAGTTGAATCCATGGATGAGGAACCTGCAGATATGGAGGGCCAGCTGTACTGATAGGTGCAACAATATGGACAGTAGCATAATATCAAAAAAAATTATGCTAAGTGAGGCCAGGCACAGTGCCTCATGCCTGTAATCCCAGCAGTTTGGAAGGCTGAGGTGGGTGGATCACTTCAGGTCAGGAGTTTGAAACCAGCATGGCCAACATGGTGAAATCTCGTCTCAACTAAAAATACGAAAAATTAGCCAGGCATGGTGGCAGGTGCCTGTAATCTCAGCCAGCTACTCAGGAGGCTGAGACAGGAGAATTGCTTGAACCGGGGAGGTGGAGGTTGCAGTGAACTGACGTCACATGGCTGCACTGCAGCCTGGGTGACAGAGTGAAACTCTGTCTCAAAAAAAAATTATGCTAAGTAAAAGAAGCCAGATACAATAGGCTACATGCTGTATGATTTCATTTATAAGACATTCTGGAAAAGGCAAAACTATAGGAATAGAAATCAGATTAGTAGCTAACCATTAGGGCTGATGGTGGGAGGAGGGCATTGACTACAAAGGGACACCAGGGGCCTTTTTGAGGTGAGAGAAATGCTTTATATTGGGAATGTGGTGGTGGTTATGTCAATATACATTTGTCAAAACTCATCGAACTGTACACTTAAAAAGGGTGAATTTTGTTATATGAAAATCATATCTCAATAAACCTGACTTAAGAAAATACTAAAACAGCCGGGCGTGGTGGCGCGTGCCTGTAGTCCCAGCTACTCGGGAGGCTGAGGTAGGAGGATTGCTTGAGCCCAGGAGTTCTGGGCTGTAGTGAGCTATGCTGATTGGGTGTCTGCACTAAGTTTGGCATCAATATGGCGACCTCCTGGGGGCGCGGGACCACCAGGTTGCCTAAGGAGGGGTGAACTGGCCCAGGTCGGAAAAGGAGCAGGTCAAAACTCCCATGCTGATCAGTAGTGGGAATCATGCCTGTGAATAGCCACTGCACTCCAGCCTGGGCAACACAGCGAGACCCCGTCTCTAAAAAAAAAAAAACAAAACTAAAACCAACCTAAAGAACCAATTAAGTGAAAATAAATCTAAGAAAAAAATAACTTACAGTTTTTCCAATTCAAGAGTCATCATGAGGATGTTCTTAACTGCTGTAAGTGGAACTTGTGTTTTTCCCATGTCTCTGAAGAGGAAAATTGAAACATTCGTGATATAAATGCCGATTCAAAAATTCTGTACTTAAAAAAGATATTTCAAGGACATGTGATTACTTCAATTTTGGCTTTTCTATAAAACAAGCCAACTCAAGAGTTTATTTGCTGCAGAATTCCAGAGAGCTCTTATTAAAGAAATTTAAGTTGATTTGCATCATCAAATTAATGATATTCAAGAGTAGAACTTGTACTTTTTTTTTTTTAACCATTATCTTACTTCTCATTTTCATATTGGATTCACTCATCTTGATTATTTACTTTTTTCTTCCTTTTTAGAATAATGAACACCTATTCCTCCTTCCTCTCTTAGTTAAGTAATATTCCTCCATGTGTCTGCATGTTCCAAATCCGTATGGGTTCTTCAACACTGTCCTCTTCCCCTGCTGGCTGTCTTGACCACTATATATCCTTTCTTAATCCTTTTCTTTGCCAATAACTTTTTTTTAATAACCCAGTTAAATTTAAATTATGACTTTTTAGCCTAAATGCAAAATATTTAATCATTGATGAAAAACTTAAAAAGAGCATAAATCATTTCATGACTCATGAAAGTACTATAATACTTACAGATATTTTAATGCTGGCAATTTAAACAAATATGGATCTTCGACAGTTGTCAGAGGATTGCGACTGAGAATTCTGAAAAGAGCAAGGAATTAAAATTACCTGCATTTTCAATGTGTGAAACTGCATAAAAAGTTTATATTCATTTTTTTTGGTATGGAACTTGTAGGTAAAAAAAATCATTTTCTGTTTTTGCCCAATAAATCACCATTAGACTCCATAAAGCACTATTCCTCTGGGAACTACCTAGGTTTCTAGAAGATAAAGCAGAGGAGAGAAAGAGGGGAAAACAGAAAAAACAAAATGTGGGGAAAAAAAAAATAAGCCACAGAACTTTTCAGGTCAAAAACCCCAGAAGTGACTCTGCTGGTAGGAAGCCCTGACTCCGTAGGAAACACTGTTTCTAATGTCCTCCATAATTCAAGTTGCTTTTTTTTTTTTAAAAAAATAAAGTCTTGCTCTGTCACCCCAGCTGGAGAACAATGGCTGGATCTCAGCCCACTGCAACCTCTGCCTCCCACGCTCAAGTGATCCTCCTGCCTCCTGCCTCAGCCTCCTGAGTAGCTGGGATAACAGGCTACTCAGGCACCCACCACCATGCCCAGCTAATTTTTGTATTTTTAGTAGAAACAGGGTTTCTCACCATGTTGACTAGGCTGTCTCGAACTCCTGACCTCAGGTAATCCACACACCTCAGCCTTCCAAAGTGTTAGGATTACAGGTGTGTGCCACTGTGCCTGGCCACTTGTCTTATCTTTATAAAGTTTAAAATTTATGGTCTAATTTGCACAGTTAAGGAAAAAAACATAGGACCAATTCTTTTGCTTTTTAGCCAAAGAAAAATCGATAAATCTAAGAGGAGGAACAGGTCAAAACCATACTCCTATCACATACTCCCACTTGTATTCTAGTATCACATCACAGTCTTTGCCACATTGCATGTAACCACCTGTCTACCTGTCAGTGTCCTGGACTATCAGCTCCTTAAGGGAAGACACCACATCTTATTGCCATTGTGACCCCTGTGCTGGGCATGATGTCTGAAATTTACTAGGCATTTAATAAATGTTTATTGAATAAACAAATGACAGTTTGTTTGTATGTCAATAAAAAGAATAAATTCATTTTGATGCAAATTTTTATTCCAAAATGCTGGAATCTGTTTTCTTTTTAATTCTTTAAAGTGAATGAAAAAAATAAAAGAAATAGGAAGAAATAAAAGAAAATCTGCCTTTAGGTTAATCCAAGAATCATCACCATACTTTTGCAGAAATTATAAAAATAGTAATTATTACAGTGAGTATCTATTGGGCTGGCAGGTATTTGTGATCGGCACTTCACATTTAATCCTCACAATAACCTTATGTGGCAGACATTATTATTGCCCTATTTTATAAATGAGGAAACTGAGGAACAGAGAGCTTACATAATTTGTCCTAGGTCACCAAGCTATTAAGAAGTAAAGCTGTAATTTGAACTCATGTGTTTAATCTGTATGAAGAAAAAGGGTTTACTTCAACCTTATGGGTTTTAAAATTCTTTCTTTCTTCTTTCTTTATTCCCCACCCGCCCTCCTTCTTTCCCTTTCTTCCTTCCCTCCCTCCCTCCTTCTTTCTCTTTCTCTCTTTCATTCTTTCTTCCTTTCATTCCCCTCCCTCCTTCTTCCCCTTTCTTCCTTCCCTCCTTCCCATCCCTCCTTTCATTTCTTCTTTCTTTCTTTGTTCCTTCTTTCCTTCATTTCCCTTCCTCCTTTCCTTTATTATCCTATATTCCTCCTGTTTTAGGGCATTCTTTTCTTGACTAAGGTTGTGCCTGGACCACTGAGTGGGAACTGACTCAACAGCTAAACTTTGAGGACTCTTTAGCAACTCTTTTCCACAAACCAAATGATATGAATGTTTTTATTTATTTATATTTATGTTTCGACTTTTTAAAAGTTTTTCTGTAGAGATCGGGGTCTCACTTTGTTACCCAGGCTGCTCTTGAACTCCTGGAACTCAATCGATCTGCCCGTCTTGGCCTCCTAAAGTGGTGGGATTACAAGCGTTAGCCACCGAGCCCGGCCTCAAGCGTTTTTATGTGCACAGTAGATGATCATTTCCATTTCTGGTTCAAGTCCTTCATTTTATACATTAAACTAAGGTGCACTGACTCCCAGTCCATTGCCTTTTTGATATCTTTATGGGAATAAAATGTGGCAAGTTTTGGCCTCAAAGACTGTCTCAGAGTCAAAGTTTAAGAAGTATTGCTCTAAATAATTTTTTAAAATATGCCTTATTAGAAGAGAAAAACTCAAATATTTTTGTGCCAACCTTTTGCTACAGAACAATGGGACAGAATAAAGGTAGCTCACAAAATAAGGGAACATTTCTTGCCTGCTTTTTATTTTTTCTCCAGATTCTTCTATATAGGGCCAGACAGATGGGTTATGTTTCCTTTCTATTAACTGAGGAGACAGAGATGAAAGGACTGGAGCATGTCATCACTGTCCTAGATGTACTGAAATCCAAGCAGCTTTAGCTGAAAAAATGTCCAAAGCATGCCGTGAAAATAAATGTAAATTTAAATGACAAACTCCAAAATGATCTATGCTAGAATCCCAACGCAGTCAGGGAAAACTGGTTCCATGGAGGAAGGTAGTCAAAAAAATAAGGTGACCTAGACCCTCATCCAATATGTGTGATGTACTTGGGGAGAAAGTAATCCCTTTCCTTTATTCATCTACATATGTCCTTGAGCCATGAAAACACATCTCTCCATACCAATATCAGGGGCAAAGTCTAGAGAATCTGAAATGGTGAGCCTATTTTTTTTTTGAGACAGAGTCTCACTCTGTTGCCCAGGCTGGAGTGCAGTGGCATGATCTTGGCTCACGGAAACTTCCACCTCCCGGGTTCAAGTGATTCTCCTGCCTCAGCCTTCAGAGTAGCTGAAATTATGGGTGTCTGTTATCACACCTGGCTAATTTTTGTATTTTTAGTAGAGATGGAGTTTCACTATGTTGGCCAGGCTGGTCTTGAACTCCTGAGCTTGAGTGATCACCCACCTCAGCCTCCCAAAGTATTGGGATTGCAAGGATGAGGCACCATGCCTGGCCATGAGCCTGTATCTTAAACTCTTGAGAATAATCTTGAAGAAGACTCCCTGGCAATGAAGAATAACCGAGAATCAGGCAGACTTGGGTTTGAATTCTGGCTCTGTCACTTTCCGGTGAAGTGACTTGAGTAATGAACATGAACCTTTCTGGGTAGCATTTACAGTTCAAGGAAGTTTGAGGAATAAATGAGTATAGCACCTAGCAGTGGGCTGGACACAGCACATGATGGTGCTCAGCCATCGTGACGTCACACCAGCACTGGCCAGTGAGCATAAACCCTGGGGATGCCCAGAAGTGGTACAGTCAGGAGCTCCAGAAGCATGGGATTCTCAGAGGGAAATGGAGGTCACTGCTCAAAAGGTCCTATTCAAGTTACAAAGTAGGATACAATGCACACAAAGCCAAATTGTCATCATTCAGCTCCTATTACAGAGGAACTAACAGCTGCATAGAAAATTACTTGCAAAGCTTGTTAAGTGGTTCTGCCACTTAATAGCCATGTGAACCTAAGTAAATTACCCAGCATCTCTGAGTTTCAACTTCCTCATCTGCAAAATAGAAATGATAATAATATCCACATCACAGAGTTGTTGGAAAAATGAAAATGAGCTCTTATAGGAGGTAACATGTATTGAGCATTTACCATATGCCAAGCACTATTCTAAGAACTTTGGACATGTTATCTCACTTGTATAAGCACTTAGGTGTCTAGAACATAAACAGCACCTAATAAATGTAAGTGTTGAAAAAATGCTATGGGGCACAGGAAGAAAACGCTAAGCTTCTGTGAAAAGACAGCTTGTTACACAGGGGAGAAGAATAAGCTGCAGTGAGAGAAGAAAAGTATAAGAGTTGCCAGGTGTGACAATCTCAAGACTTTTCAACCATTACAAATTTAAACAGCCACCCTACATCACCCCAAAGGACAGACGGAGTTGTTCTTTTCATCTTTAATGTTTGTGCCTCTCTGTTCCGGTACATACCAAAACGTGATGACAATACCCTCAACTGTGCAAACCTTTGTGCATCTACCGCTATGTAAAGGAAGCTGATGTCAGCAGACTGGGGGGAACAACAAGGCATGCTTGTGACTCAATTTGCCATCACAGGGTGGCCACACCTACATCACTAATATTCTGATAGTGGGATAAAGCCTGGATTTTCCTCTTCTCTCTTTGTGCTTACATTCTTGGCACGATATTGATGTGCCATAGACAAGCCAGCATGTGAGCGTGCTCTATCTGAGTAAAACCTGTAATCCCAGCTACTTGGTAGGCTGAGGATCGCTTGAACCTGGGAGGCAGAGGCTGTGGTGAGCTGAGAGCGCGCCACTGCACTCCAGCCTTTCTACATTGCAAAGTCATCCAGTTTCTAAAATTATGGAGTTTGTATTGTTAGAACCAATGAAATGACGAAGAATTTTTAAAGATAAGCCATCAGACTAGACCTGTGTATGGAAATGAAGGAGAAGCACTTTAAAGTCAGGGAAAAAATATAAACATACTCAACATTTAGGATCATCAACCATTGCTGGTTTTCCATAAACCATTTCATTCATGATTTCATCTGTAATCGTTCATGATTCATTCATGATTATTGCTACCATTCAGAGGGGGACTTTGTTAGCTGCCTGGTCCTTCTTGCTTCAATGCCTTGCAAATAAATGCCCTCCTTTCCCCAATACAAACCCTTGATATAGCTGTTTGGCTTTACTGCGCTTGGGCCAGCAGAACCCAGTTAAGTCCACTAATAAGCTCTTGGTATGCCTTAGAGATGGATTTCAGATTCCAATGAGACTGACCCTACCACACTAACTTGGCCAGTCAGTATTTGTCAATAACGTAGATGCTTCATTCAAGAAATTTACTGGGTTGTAACTTTTGGAACCCAGGAGCTATTTCAGAATAGGGGTTTGAACCTTATCCAGTGGAAACATAAAAAATGATGAATACAAAATTTGCCAGGAGCCCTCCCAGAACCTTGGAAGGGGCCTGTGCAAGTGAGAAGTCCTGAAGCTTAGGCCCTTTTCAGTTCACCATCAATCCACCACAGCTGGGGCCTCTTTTTTTTCTTCAAACTTGAGTAATGCAGGAAAATACATTCTTTCAACTTATAAACACCACGGAATGGTGCCATATTGATCAAAAAATTACTTGGCAATTTGCCTTTGGAACAAAATGCAATGGGGCTATATGTCACATATGCCAAATATGATTCTGCAATGTAGCTTTGTTTACCAGAAAAATTTGACTCCAAACAAAGGAGCCCAGTCCCCAATGTACACTTGCTGTGTTGAGACCGTTGTGTCAATATTTGAAAGTAACTGTGTCTTAGTTTGAAGGGTACAGCTCTATTCTGCTTATATGAAATGAGTACTAATTTCCAGTATCAGCTAGCTCTGATTTTTCTCATCACCATGAAGCAAATGCCTTTTTCTGTTAAGATGAACACAGAAACTCGAGATGAGCAAGGTGGTGTCTCCTCGAGTCTTCCTTAACCCACCACCCATTCCTACTTTGTCCTCCCCTTGTCACCCTGCTGTACAGATGCCCACATAGCTCTCCTATGTTTTCCCATCAGCATCTGCTTCCTTCTTGAGGTGTGAAAGTCTCCATCTTGGTGTGTCTTTAAGATGGATTTTGTACCCCCAGCACTCAGTACAGTACCTGGCACAAATGGACATGGCACTGAGTGAATGTTTTTGAGTGAATTCATTCATTTTTATCAGCTGTGATTCCAGTGTTTTCTCAGTGTTGCCTACATAACTGTAGTGAAGCTGGCCAGATTATTATTATTTTTTTGAGACTGAGTCGAACTCTGTTGCCCAGGCTGGAGTTTGATGGCATGATCTCGGCTCAATGCAACCTCTGCCTCCTGGGTTCAAGTGATTCTCCTGCCTCAGCCTCCTGAGTAGCTGGGATTATAGGCACCTACCACCACATCCAGCTAATTTTTGTACTTTTAGTAGAGATGGGGTTCCACCCACCTCAGCCTACCAAAGTGCTGGGATTACAGGCGTGAGCCATGCTCCCGGCCACCAGATTCTTATGAGGGACTCCCAGTATCATAAAGTGCTTAGTAACGGTGGTGAGTTTAAGACATTTTATTAATGCTACCTACACCTCTTGGTGGAGGGACCTAATGAGCCTGTTCTCTGATGTGAGAGCAAAAGAAAAACAGACCCTCAGTGTCCTTTTCCTAAGTTAGGCATCAGCAAATTAATGAGGACAGAGAGGACCATCTGCAGAAACTGTTGCTCTAGTCCAGACACTTCCTGAATGCCTCCCTCTACCTCAAAATGAACTGTGTGAAACTAGACTTCTGAAACTCAAGAGAGGTGGAAAGTCCTTTCTAAAGTCAGATGTAAAGGAGAATCTTCACCTTGAGTCTAAAGCCCCCTTCAGGCCATTGAACATACCCACTCTGATTTGCCGGTTATGTTATACAGAGAAATCACAGAATTTTTGAGCTGCAAGGGAATAAAATTTGTATTTATGGTCAAAGAGTAGTCAGGAAAGTATATGGAATTAAGCTATGGTGATGTATTTTCGTTACAAATTATTTTTTGCACCATAACTTAACATAAACACCATCTTGGCCAGGTGTGGTGGCTCACACCTGTAATCCCAACACTTTGGGAGGCTGAAGTGGGCGGATCACCTGAGGTCACAGGAGTTCAAGACTAGCCCGGCAGAGGTTGGACGACAGTGGCACAATCTCGGCTCACTGCAACTTCCGACTCCTGGGTTCAAGCCATTCTCATGCCTCAGTCTCCCGAGTACCTGGGATCACAGGCACGTGCCACTATGCCCTGCTAATTTTTGTGTTTTTAGTAGAGACAAGTTTTGCCATGTTGGCCAGGCTGGTCTTGAACACCTGTGACCTCAGGTGATCCAGCCACCTCAGCCTCCCAAAGTGCTGGGATTACGGGTGTGAGCCACCATACGTGGCCCTACACTTTGGATTTAACTTTGATTCCTGCACCTATGCACAGTTTCTAACTGCTGAAATGTCTGCAACATTTAGCTACAAGGAAGGAAGCTTAACACAAAGTCTTCCAGGGAGCAAAAAACTGCACCACCATGCCCAGCTGAGTTTTTTTGTGTTTTTAGTAGGGATGGGGTTTCACTGTGTTGGCCAGGCTGGTCTTGAACTCCTGACCTCAGGTGATCTGCCTGCCTCTGCCTCCCAAAATGCAGGGATTATAGGCCTGAGCCACCACACCTGTCAACAAGGCTAATTTGAGGGTCATTTGTTTGATGCCTTTTCTTGCCCATGCCAAAGGTCAGAACTAGGAAAAGCAGAGCAAGTCATATATAAGCTATGTAAGTAAGTCTCTTGGCCTTTGTGCCTTAGTTTCCCCATTTGAGAAAAACGAATGGATCTTAAGACATACTTTTCAGAGTTCGTAATGGGCTTATACCCAGCTAACCAATAATTGTATGAGGTTTTCACATGTAAATAGATGTTTACACATATTCATTTTCTATTTCACTTACAAATTGTGTAAAAACTGCATTCCATGCCAGGCCTGAAATGTTCCAAAGCTCAGTTCTGTGAGTAAATTGCAACCAAGATTTCTACAAAAAAAGACACAAGCCAAAGGAAAAAAAAATTATTTCAGAACATTTATCATTTGCCATGATTCTAATTTACATAGGATGGAACACAACCTGAATCCTTTCTTGGTGCACTGTGGATGATACTAGCTTATGATTTATACTTTAACATTGCACATGTGGTGCATTAGATACAAAACAGTGACTGCTCAGTAAATACTTGTGTTAAGTGATCTTTATTTCTCTAGAACAGGATTTCACAAGTTCAGTGCCATCGACATTTTGGTCTATATAACTCTTTGCCACCAGGCTCATGGCTCAAGCCTTAATCCCAGCACTTTGGGAGGCCAAGGCGGGCGGATCATGAGGTCAGGAGTTTGAGACCAGCTTGACCAACATGGTAAAACCCCATCTCTACTAAACATGCAAAAAATTAGCTGGGCATGGTGGTGAGTACCTGTAATCCCACCTACTTGGTAGGCTGAGGATCGCCTGAACCTGGGAGGTAGAGGCTGTCGTGAGCTGAGAGTGTGCCACTGCACTCCAGCCTGGCGACAAAGCGAGACTCTGTCTCAAAAACAAAACAAAATTCTTTGCTGTGGGGGTTTGTCTTGTACCCTGGAGGATGTTTAGTAGCATCTCTGGCCTCTGCCCACCAGATGCCAGGAGTACACCCACAGTTTTGTCAACCAAAACTGTCTCCAGACATTGCCAAATGTCACCTGAGTACAAAAATCACACCAGTTGAGAACCACTGCTCTCTGATGATTCACTATGATCTGTGTAATAATGTTCACACTAATCTTTGCTAGAGACAAAAGGATTTGCTATGTAATTTTAGTTAACTTTCTACTGGCAAAATTTTAATCATATTTCAAAATGAATAGCAAAGAGGTGAAATCAAGTTTTATTTGTAACTTACATAGACTGTAAAAATGGTAGTGATTCAAATGTATGTCTTTCAATAGACTGTATTTTATTGCAGGATAAATCTCTAGGAAAAGTAAAAGAAAAATATTGCCTTGATTAGTTATTAGATGTCAAATTAGTATGGATAAATAGCAAGAGTTTAGAATAGTATTGAATACAGTTTTCATCTATGCTCTAAACGTCTGGATGTGTATTTAAACTGTCCAGAACTCCTAACCCTGCCTGTACCTCTCCTAGAGTCTCACCTTCATGGTTTTAATAAATAAAATATACAACTATAGATCTTGATAGACTTGGGGATTAATTATTCCTAGAGCAGTAGACTTGATTAGATGCCCTTTTGTAGTCTCATCAAATCCCAGATTATGAGCTCAAAGTTTTTTCTCTACATATAGTTTCCAATATTAAAAGGAATAGTCTCACATTTATATACCTTCCTAGTTTAGGTCTGTTTTCCTAAGCCAGTTCAATATCAGAAAAAATAAAAGACATCCTTTCACATCATTTGGAAGGAAGTTAACCCTTTAACACATAACTTTGAACTAATTCAAATCATATTAACAGAATTTCTATCATATTAATAGAAATTCATTTTTTGGCTTCATATTGCTTTAATATTTCATGAAAGCAATTTCTTCAGTTATATAGTGATGGGGCAACAAAAATAACCTGGAACTGGATTTTCATTTTTTGAATAAAAACCAATATAGTCAAAACCCATTCTTGACTACAGTTGGCTCTCATTTTTATTGATTCCACTTGTTAGCTTGTCCCGCCCTCTTTACCTGGATGGTGTAATGTTGTCTGGCTGGTGTCTCCATCTCTGGTCTCTCCCTTCCTAAACTACCCTACACACAGGCATCATATAAACTCTCCAGAAGTGGCTTGCAAAGACCAGCACCTCCTGGGAAATTACTGAAGATGCAAATTCTTGGTCCCATCCTAGATGAACTGAATCAATAATTATGAGGGTGGAGTCCAGAAGTGAGTTCTAATGTGCCCTCCCAGTGATTGTGAGGCAGATCTATCTTACAGCACTCCTGTGATAACACGGTTCCCCATGATGGCTCCTGAGCTTGGTTGGCATTGAAAGCCCTAGAAGATCTGGCTCCAATTTCCCACTCTCCCTCCTTGTACTCTACAGGTACTCATGGCATTCCCCAAACACTTTCCTGTGTTTGGGCCTTCTCCCATTTCCCTTTTGCAAGCTTAGAATATTTTCCCCAAGATGTCTGGCCAATGTTACACAATGGCCCTTCAAAGTCCTATTCAAATGGCATTGTTCTAGTGACACCTTACTGGGGCCAAATTGAAGCCATTTTCCCCCTCTTCTATGCTCCAGAAACAATTTATCCCTCCTAGTGCCCACATTTATTTCTTCTTTTTCAATGTAGTTATTTTTCATCCTGTTTCTTCTGAGCATAAACTCCTTGAAAGCATGAACTAGGTCTTGCTTATCTGCATTGCCCACCATGTTTAAAACTGACACATGGAAATAAAGCAAACTCAAATATTTGCTAAATAAATGGATAGCTGGGGGAGTGAGTAGTGCATAGAAGGAAAATGACTATTTTAAAGGAAATGTTGTTTTATTACTTCGTGGCCTCTGTAGCACTTTGGCATCCACTTGAGGGTCTTTATACCCACTTTCCTTAAGACTTCTGCATTTGAAAGAATCCGTTTGCAAAAGAGCATCACTAATGAGCTTAATAAGGATTAATGACATACACACCTCTGGACCACGGACAGAGGATGAGAATCATGCTTTCATAGCAATGAACATAGTATCTTCTTACCTCTAAACAGACAGAAATACTATACAGGTATCCATTCCTTGGTAACAGGGTTGAGGAGATAGTTATTTTGTAATTATTGAAGACTTAGGGGCATTTCTGATGTGGTTACTTAGTGTAAACATTTGTAGCTATACCACTTAACCATCATTTAAAAATCTATTTTAATATAACAATTCCTAAAATGAAATCCTTTATACCAGTCTATTCGATTGGTAGCTTAATATTCTTGATAATATTATTTATATAATTCAGCTGATTTTTTTAGTATTTAAATGTTAATTTAATTCAGATTAAATTACCAAAAAATTCTGCATTGATGATGTTCAAATGAATGTAGGTGGTCTATATTTTCTTCTCTTTCAGGCAACAATGTGAAGTTCACTTTAATTCCTTTCATTCTACTAAACCAACTTTCTCAAATCCTTTTTTGGAAAGGTCAGGTAGTAAATATTTTAGGCTTTGTGGGCCACATATGATCTCTGTTGCATATTTCTCTGTTTCTTTTCTGTTTCTTTCATAGTCCTTTAAAAATGCAAAAACCGGCCGGGTTCAGTGGCTTACGCCTGTAATCCCAGCACTCTGGGAGGCTGAGGTGGGCGATCATCATGAGGTCAGGAGATCAAGACCATCTGGGCCAACATGGTGAAACCTGGACTCTACTAAAAATGCAAAAAAATTAGCTGGGCATGGCAGTGCATACCTGTAGTCCCAGCTACTCAGGAGGCTGAGGCAGGAGAATTGCTTGAACCCAAGAGGCAGAGATTGCAGTGAGCCAACATCGAGCCACTGCACTACAGCCTGGGTGACAGTGCAGGACTCCGTTTCAAAAAAAAAAAAATGCAAAAACCATTAACTTAATGGACTATTTAAAAATAGACCCTAGATTAGATTTGATCTCTTGGTTGTAGATTGAATATAAGAAGATGGTATGTGAACAGTTATAAAACAAGGTTCATATGAATGTCAATCACTGCTCAGATTTACCATTTGAATTTTTTTCTGTCTGTAACTTGTCTATATAATTTAAAAATTGAAAATGCATAGGAAGTAACTAATGCTAGAGATGGGCTAAGACCCTATATAAACTTACAGAATTAAAGAATTTTATTCCTAGAAGAAATCTTAGAGATTATCTCATTTTACTGATAATATGACTAAAATTCATAAATAGGATTAACTAACTAACTTACAAATACTGCAGGGATAGCAGGCCTTCAAATGAATCCTTACATAATTCAGTCAAATAATTTTCACTGAGAATTCTGGAAAATGAAAAGGTTATTTCTAGATTAAAATGCAAACTACAACTATTTGCTACACAGGACTATCTCCTTTATGTGGAGGAAAGCTGGGTAATAGTAATTTCAAGATGGTATCTGCTCTACTTTCATAAAACCTTTTCTTACATTTTCATTTCTGTGTCCATCTCTCTGCACCACCACCACACACACACACACACACACACACACACACATGCATGCACACACACACAAGCACACCCTACCCACTCTTCCCACCAAATTGTATATTAAATCTGTCCTCTCTAAATCACAAAGTCCCTGTTAGAATCCAACCCTGGGTGACACCAAGATCAGCAGAACTTCCATTTTCTCCTCTCTTTCCCCAAACCTTATTATGAAAGCCCCACATGGAACTATGTCAGGGCTGCAAGTGAAGCCATTCAACATTTAAAAAATTTGAGAACTACAATATGCATAAAGTGCACAAAATATAAATGATGTTTATATTTAATTTAATTTCTGAGACAGGGTCTCACTCTGTTGCCCAGACTAGTCTCAAACTCCTGGCTCAAGCGATCCTCCTGTCTCAGCCTTCAAAAGTGTTGCGATTGCAGATGTCAGCCACCTTACCTGGCCAAATATTCAGTTTAATAATTATAAAGCAGATACCCATGTAACATCGTTAGAAAAGATCACCGCTAGCATCCCAGAAGCCCCCAGTGTGCCCCTTTCCAATCATAAACCTCTCTCTAATTCTTTTAGGTAACCACTATCCTGACTTTTGTAATAATTTTCTTGCTTTTAAAATGTAGTTCTGGCCTAGCATGGTGGCTCACACCTATCATTCCAGCACTTTGGGAAGTCAAGGTGGGTGAATCACCTGAGTTCAGGAGTTCGAGACCAGCCTGGCCAACATTGTGAAACCCTGTCTCTACTAAAAATACAAAAATTAGCTGGGTATGGTGGCGGGCACCTGTAATTCCAGCCACCCAGGAGCCTGAGGCAGGAGAATTGCTTCAACCTGGGAGGTGGAGGTTGGAGTGAGCTGAGATCACACCATAGCACTCCAGCCTGGGTGACAAGAATGAAATTCTATCTCAAAAAAATAAATAAGAAATAAAACATAGTTCTGGCTGGGCATGGGGGTTCACACTTGTAATTCCAGCACTTTGGGAGGCCAAGAAGGGAGGACTGCTTGAGCTCAGAAGTTCGAGACAAGTCTGAGTAATACAGCAGGACCTCCTCTCTAGAAAAATTAAAAAAATTAGTTGGGCATGTTGGCATCACCTGTAGTCCCAGCTACTAGAGAGGTTCAGATGGGAGGATCACTTGAGCATGGGAGGTCCAGGCTGCAGTGAGCCGTGTTTGCACCACTGCAGACCCTGTCTCAAAAATAAATAAAATAAAATGAAAAGAAATGTAGTTTTACCTATTATGTGTCAGTCATAAACAACATAGTTTAGTCTCTTGGACATTATATAAATGAAATCATATTATACATATTACTTTCTGTATCACTTCTTTCACTCAATAATCTGTTTGTACTTTTAAGATGTATGTCGCTGAGGCTGGTTCAAGACCTGTGTTGTGCTTTCAATAAGGTGGTCACTAGCTACATTTGGCTAGTGATAGTGGCTAATGCGACTGAGGAACTGAATCTTTGATTTCAATCATTTTAATTATTTTTAAATTTCAAAGCTGACACTCAATGCAGTCGTTAGAAAATGTATGTTTGCAACAATTTGGGTAAACGATGCTACTTTTTCAACTGCAAATTTTATGAAATCTAAATATAGATTAAGGTTTTTTTTGTTTTTTGTTTTTTTTTTTAAGATGGGGTTTCACCATATTGGTCAGGCTGGTCTCGAACTCCTGACCTCAGGTGATCCGCCCACCTCAGCCTCCCAAAGTGCTGGGATTACAGGCCTGAGTGTTTTTGTTTTTGAGATGGAGTTTCGTTCGTCAGCCAGGCTGGAGTCCAATGATGCAATCTTGGCTCACTGCAACCTCTATTTCCTGGGTTCAAGCAATTCTTATACCTCCTGAGTAGCTGGGATTACAGGTGTCTGCCATCACATCCAGTTAATATTTTGTATTTTTAGAGGAGATGAGGTTTTGCCATATTGGCCAGGCTGGCCTCAAACTCCTGACCACAGGTGATCCACCTGCCTCAGCCTCCCAAAGTGCTGGGATTATAGGCATGAGCTACCTAACATCCAGCCAGATTAAGTATTGTTATTATTAACTTTCTCCCTAGATTTCTCAGCAGAACAGATTAAGTTTTTTTGATAAAAATTTAGAAACCAAATTTGGACTTTAGTTAAAAAAAGTTACTACGGAAAAAAGAATGTAAACTCCACAATTAATTTTTATACTAATTACATGTAGAAATGATACCACTTTGGATATTTTGAAGACTTAGTATGAAAACAGACTATCTTATTAATAGCATAATAACATGTTGAAATGATAATATTTTAGACACATGGGTGAAATAAAATATATTAACATGTTTCACCTGTTTCCTTTTTAGTTTTATTTTTTAAGTGACTACCAGAAAAGTTAAAATTATGTATGTGGCTTGCATTAGGTTTCTAATGAATAATGCGGCTGTAGAGTAGTCCATTGAATGATTATACTGCAATGTACTGATTCATCTACTATGGATGGATGCTGAGATTTTTCTAATTTTTCCTTATTACAAACAATGCTGCTTTGAACATTCTTATACTTGTATCCTGATAACATTTTTGTCTGAGTTTCTCTAGAATGTAATAATAAGGTACAAAATTGCTTTTCTAAAAAGTTGTGCTATTTCAAGTGGCAGATTGAGAAAATGCCAGGTCTATACCCATCCAACCACTACCAAATCCCTAAAAATTATAGAATAGAAGTAATTTTAAAATCCACAACGTTAGCTCAAAATGTGGAAGCAGTTCTACAGATGCTCCTTTATCAGAAATACTTGGTTATTGGTTGGGACAGGGCAGTAGGAGAAGCCAGAGGCATATCAACCCCATATCCTTCTTCCTTGGGCCAGGCAGCAGAGTGTCTTCCTCCAGGCAGGAACAATTGTCTGAAAGTGGACAGCATCCTGGAACCCTGGAGGAAGGGTGTAGACTTCTTTACTAGCCATCTCCCACACCTTCCTTATTCTCAGAAGACTCCATCTGGAACACAATCCCCAGAGAGTCACACCTCTCCTCTAGAGCTAGAAAACAGAATTGTTTGGTTCTAGCATTTTTTTTTTTCCTATCAATAAGATATCAGACAAGGGTGGGGGAAACTATTTTAAAGTGACCATAATTCCTCTTCTTAGATTATTATGATTGTCTTTTTTTGTTGTTTCGTTTTGTTTTTGAGACAGAGTCTTACTCTGTTGACCAGGAGGGAGCGCAGTGGCACGATCTTGGCTCACTACAACCTCCACCTCCCAGGTTCAAGTGATTCTCCTGCCTCAGCTTCCCAAGTATCTGGGATTACAGGCACCCACCACCATGCCTGGCTAATTCTTGTATCTTTAGTAGTACGAGGTTTCGCCATATCGGCCAGGCTGGTCACAAACTCCTGACCTCAGGTGATCCACCCACCTTGGCTACCCAAGGTGCTGGGATTACAGTTGTGAGCCACTGCACCCGGCATGTGTTTTATTTTTCATTTAGAACTCACGTGTGACTTGTCTATATAATATAATTACATTAGTTCAATGTAAGTTGAACTAATGATGTGACACACAAACTCTTTTGAAAAATGCCAGTTACTTCTAATGTAAGCATTTTTTCCAAAATCATTTATGTGTCTAAACTAATTCCTTCTATAAATCAGTAAGAAAATAATAAAACAATTCAACAGGAAAATGAACAAAGACAGAAAGCTCAGAGAAGAAACACGAATGTTCAATAAACATATAAAGGTATTTAATTAAATTCATGAGTAATCAGAACAATTCAAATTTAGATGGAATCCCTTTTATTCACCTATAACATCAACAAAAGTTGGAGAATACCCAGTGGTGAAAAAGTGTGGGGAAATGAATGCTGTCATATTCTACTGACAACAGAGTAAGTTGGCACAACATTTTTTAGGGCAATTACAATTTTATGTCTACATAGTAATAAATACCCCCTACCCCAACAATTCCATTTCTAGATATTTATCCTACAGGAATAATTTCCCACGTTCACAAAGAAGCATGTGCAGGGATTTCATTGCAGCAATGCACGTAACAAGAAAACTAAATGTTAATCTAAACATTTATCAATGGGAGAATTATTAAATAAACTATGATGCATCCATACTATGGATTATGCAGGAGTTTAAATGAATAGGGTAACTAAGTACTGGTTGTGGATTCTAAGTACTGGGAAGGGAAGAAATCTAAGGCATATCATGAAGTGAAAGAATCAAGTTACAAGATGTTACCACTTATGTAAAGAAAAAGGATTTTAAAAACCACACAACAAATCTATTTTGCTTTATGTTAATATGTATGTAGGCAAAGGGGAAAAGTCATGAGGAATATATACCAAATGCAGGGTAGCATTACCTCAGGTAACAAGGGAGTAGGGCACAAGGAGGGTTTTTGTTCTATCTGTTATTTCACTTTTATACATTAAAAATAAAATCATGGGCTGGAGGTGGTGGTTCATGCCTGTAATACCAGCACTTTGGGAAGCCAAGTTGGGAGGATCACTTGAGCCCAGGAGTTTGAGACCAGCCTAAGCAGCATAGGGAGACCCTGCCCCTACAAAAAATACAAAATTACGTGGGCGTGCTGTGATGCACCTGTGGTCCCAGAGACTTTGGAGGCTGAGGTGGGGGATCTTTTGAGCCTGGGAGATGGAGGCTGCAGTGAGCCATGATTGTGTCACTGCATTCCAGCCTGGGGAACAAAGTAAGACCCTGTCTCTGGCGGGGAGGCGGGTCGAGGGGGAGAGGAAAAAAAGGGAATATAATCATGTATTATTTGTATGAAAAAAATAAGTTTAAATTACCTCTTACTTTAAAGAAAGCTCACCAAATTTAATTCTAAAATAACCATAGGATTGCAATCAACAGAGGTTGATTTGGGGTATGGAGGGGAAATACCTTTTCTCAGAAGTACAGACCTCAAAATTCTGGACCAAGAAGGATCTTACAATGCAGTTAGTTTTTTTGTCATATTTGGAGAGAATATACTCACAGTTTCTCGGTCCAATGGTATGCCTTCCATACCTTTCCATCAATATAAGAAATATAGTTTCCTTGTAAATTCCTGTAAAGAAACACAGTTTATATCCTTGAATAGGTAGGAAAAGAATGAACAGGATAAGTAAAAGAATCATGGCAGCCTTGTCAGGGATATTCAGTTACAGAAAATAACACCTGCCTTTTAATTTCCAGAGCTATCAGCTTTCCAGTTTGTACAATTAATCAAAAAATAATGCGGGGCCACTGGCACAAAGGATGAGGCGTCTCCTGAAGTTTAACTCCCTATCCCTCCAATGTCTTAGACATATGATGCCAGTTAATTACTTTGAATGTAAGTATTTTATCCAAAAGCACTTACGTGTTTAAACAACTCCTTCTAAAACATCAATACAAAAATGGTAAATAATTCAAAAGAAAATGGGCAAGGCTTATCATTATCAACAAATAAGAAGAAAGAAACCCTATGCCAGGTAACACCAAAGCTTTGGCCCAGTGCCGTCTGCTGAAACATCCTAGGATTTTTCTTTCCACTTCTATTGCAACCGATCTGATTTAGCCCCTTCACACTTTACTCCTAGGTTTTGCTAGACCTTTCTATTTGTCTCCCTGAATTAAGCTTTCTCCTCTAGGGCACTCTACATATGGATTCTAAAACAATCCTTTGCATGTCTACACTTGAACATAAAGCAAAAAACCAAATAAAATAAAATGATCTTCCTGTTTTCATCATTTCATCTCTCTTGCTTGGAAACTTTCAGTGGCTTTCCATATCTCCCTGTGTAACTTTCAAACTCCTATAGCTGATAATCAAGGTTTTACACAATCATATCTTCATTGTTCCCTCATGTGATTCTGTGCAGCGAGATTGGTCTACTAAATTCCAACCATACCTGTAGCCATGCCTTTGCCTGGACTATACTCCCATTTTTTTCTGTTGAACAAATTACAGCTACTCTTTAAGACCCAAGTAAAATTTTAGCTTATCTACATAGCTTTCCCTGACCTCCACACCTCAGGGATCACAGATTCTGGTAAATTCTAGCACTGATGTTCTGCATTATCTTTTAGTACTTAATTATATATACCTCCCTTTTTGTGCCTATTCTCTCTTCCTTCCTATCATTTTCATGTTCCGGAGACGGTAGCATACTTGGCCCTGGGTTGGACACAAAATGAGTGCTACATATAGAAAGCCAGGGACAAAGGTGAGTTCCGGACAAAACTAGAGGACTGAGTAATCATGTTAACAACCAACTCTCCTACATATGCTGGGCACCGATGCAAGCATTTCATGTATTCACTCAACTAAATTTTGCAACAATCCTGTGAAATGGTAACTAGCATAATCCCCAGTTTAAAGATGAGGAAACAGTCACAGAGCAGAATAACTTGCTCTGGGTCACCACGCTACTAAATGACAGACCTGGGTTCAAACCCAGGCAGCCTGGCTCCAGAATCAACTCTTAATCACTTAGAGCATCATCACTGAGATGGGGAGAGGGACAGGCTGCTGTAAAGAGGCTGAAGTGAAAATGGGAGGAGAGCAGCAGTTAAACAATGACGTGATGAGGCTAAAGAAAAATGGATAAGAAAACGAGTAAGGGTAAAAGACTAGAGTAAAAGTAAAAGACTAGAGAAGGGGCCTAACAGTAAAGGAGAATGAGGAGAAGGAAGAGTGGACAAGCAAAGGTGAAAGCAGAAAGTCAGCTGTCAGTATGGCTTGGGGAGATAAAGAAGGCCTGGGAAGGCCTCCAGGAAAAGCCTGCCATGTCAGGCAGGACACAGAGGACAATGGAGGGAAAGGTGATTCTTACAAGATAGTGAAGGTGCCATTGTAGGTGTTCGGCTCTGGCACAGGCACATGGCGGAGCCTCTGCTTCGGGCTGAGAGCAATACACGACAGCGTCTCATCTCTGCAGGTACAGAGGTCACATATGTTGGTGCTTGTGGAGGCCTGTTCTTTCCGTACAGTTAAAGCCCTATTTTGGGCGTAAGTTTCAGGCTGCACCAGTGAATCCTGAGTAGGTTCTAGTTCAGTAGGTGGATGTGTGACTTCAGTCAGGTTTTGATGCTGCGTCTGACCCTTGTCAGAAGGTGGAAGTGTCACCTCAGGCTGTTTTGGAGGAGGAGCTGTAGTCGTCAGGGCTGTGGAAGGTTCAACCTCTGTAGTGGATTCAGGAGTGAAAGTAAGCCCCAGATCCAAAGGTTGAACTGTGGTTTGAGTCAGGTTTGAATGCTGAGTCTGAACATGGTCTGGATGTGGAAGTGTCACCTTAGGGTGCTTTGAATGAACTATAGTCTTCAGGGGTGTAGAATGTTCAACCTCTGTACTGGGTTCTGGAGTTAGGGTAAGTCCCAGATCCAATGGTTGAACTGTAACGCTGGATGACATTGAATGCTGAGCTTGATCCTGACCTGGTGTTGGAAATGTCACCTCATAATGAGCTGGAGGTTGAGCTGCAACCTCCTTAGATGGCTCTGGGAGCTGAGCTGGGACCATCTGCTGGCTTGAAGGTTCTACCTCCTTAGGGGGCTCTAGAGCCTGAACTGTGGCTTCCTGCTGGGCTGGAGAAGATTCAAGCTCTCCAGAAGACTCAGAAGGCTGAGCTGGCTGCTTCTGCTCACTGGGGGAAAGTTCAGTCTCCATAGGAGGACCTGGAGGCTCAGTTGGGGTCTCCTCTTGGATTGCAGAAGGTTCCATCTCTTCTGGAGGCTGAGCTAGGGTGTCCTCCTGGGTCTGAGAAGGTTCAAGCTCCCCAGAAGATTCAGAAGGCTGAGTTGGCTGCTCCTGCTCACTGGGGGAAAGTTCAGGCTCCATAGGAGGACCTGGAGGCTCATCCAAGTTCACCTGGAGTTCTGGAGGCAGGCTGCCGGGATACAGAATATCCTGCAAAACAAATTTTGATGTTGTTTTGATATAAAATGATGTGGAATTCCCACAACCTTAGCAAGTCTCCAGTGCTGAGCTAAATCTTTCCTCAGGTTCTTGGGAGAAACTATAGACTCCGTTGCTTTTGAAATCTTACTATCTAGAGGTGGAACAAGTATTTCATCTGCCTGATGATCTGCAGCCTGATCTAGATCTGCAGTTTGAACCCTGCTTTTGAGGTGAGGAGGCTGAACTAGGGTCTGTTTCTGATCCCAGTCCGGCATTGGACCCACCTTTGGGAGCCTTTCTTGCCGAGTCAGCCTGTCATTCAGATCCGGGTGTGCAGACGAGAAGTGCTCGGGCCCGGGGGGCAGCTCTCCAGCTGACTCTGGGTCCAGAAATTCAACCAAATTATCAGTCAATTCCTTGGGCGGGGCTGACCTCTGGGAGGAAGCAGAGGACCCCAGGTAATCAAAGCCCCCCGGGTCTGCCGGGGAACTAAGCCCATGGAGAGATTCCCATGGGAGATTGGAGGAGCGGGAAGACCAGGGCTCAGTGGGCCCCAGGGGGTTAGAGGTCAGCTGGAGCGGGTCCTTGACCCACTCCAGAGGCTGAGCCTCCTGGACTATTAGCCACGTGAGGAAGGGCCATAGGGCCCAGAGACTTAGCCCAGACATGAGAAGCGCTGGTTCTGTGCATTGAGCAGGAACCATTCTGGCAGACCCTAGAGGCTGGTGTCCCTGACAAGCACGTGCCCCGCCCCATCCTTTATGACACCTTTATTTACACTACCTTTATTAGCATTGGGTCCAGTTCTGCTCCATGTTACCAGGGTGATCTTATGTCACAATCCCGCCCAAGCCCCCCTTCCCACCCAGCCCCTGGAACACCCCTCCATGCCCTGTCCTTAGCAAGGAAGGATTTGGGCCGCAGACCCGGGTGGGTCCCAGGACTCCAGCAGCCTGGTGGGGTGGGGTGGAGTGGGGTGGGGGTACCGCAGAGCTTCCCAGGGAAGTCACAGGACCTTCTCTCAGGATATTCAGAAGCGCTAGCCCAGTTCTGGCAGCCTGAACTCTTCCTCCTCCAAGGTGAAATCTGAGAATACTCCTCCTTCCAGGGAGAGCAAATGATCTGCAAAATGTGTGCCAGTTAGGGTGGCAGGCAGAAGGCACATTACAGTCATTTATTCCAAAATGTTGCCATTTTCGCTAAACTTTCTATATTTTTTGTTGCATGTTTGATAATTGATTCATGACCCTATTGGGTAGGGGCTGCCAGGGAATAAGCAAGGACTTCAAATTTTCTGTAGGAGGGCTGTTGGGGGTGGGGAATTCAGTCTGGGAGAGAAGGCTTCAATCCGAGTGAAGAGCCCTTTGCACTAGCCTGGGCGGAGGCTGAACTGTCATCCTGCCTTGACTTAACACATTACCCTAGAAGTTACAGTGCCACCCTTCAGAGGTCTACCCTGTGTGCACACATGGAGAAGAGGCTTAGGTTGTTAAGTCAGCAGGTTAAATAAGTTCCTGAAATGTGACTATAAGCTAGAACCCAGCTGACTTCCCCTACAGCCATTCTTACCTATCTTATTACTGACTGACTGGCATAATTATCAGTGTATAAACTCCAAGAAGGTGCTTCATCTTATTCCAGTGCCTAGCATAGGCATATGGTGCGTAGTGATGGTTTTAAAAATTGAAGTGGGGCCAGGCACCGTGGCTAATATCTGTAATCCCAGAACTTTGGGAGGCCGAGGTGGGCGGATCACTGAGGTCAGAAGTTCGAGACCAGCCTGACCAACATAGTGAAACTCCATCTCTACTAAAAATACAAAATTAGCCAGGCACGGTGGCACATGCCTGCAATCCCACCTACTCAGGAGACTAAGGCAGAAGAATCACTTGAACCCAGGAGGCGCAGGTTGCAGTGGGGTGAGATCATTCCATTGCACTCTAGCCTGGGTGAGACAGTGAGACTCGTCTCAAAAAAATAACAAATAAATAAATAAAATAAAATGGAAGGGATTCCAAGATTTGCCTCATTTAGGGATGGATCTATTGTTATAATCAGAGTTCTGAAATCAGTGCTGACTTCCTCTCACATTTCCCAGGAAGCTATATTTCTTAGAGCTTGACATTTCCTTGGTGGGTTTTATTTAAATTAAAATAATTATTTTGGCCGGGCATGGTGGCTCACACCTGTAATCTCAGCACTTCGGGAGGCCGAGGTGGGTAGATCACCTGAGGTCAGGAGTTTGAGAACAGCTTGGCCAAGATAGTGAAACCCCGTGTCTACTAAAAATACAAAAATTAGCTGGGCATGGTGGCAGGTGCCTGTAATCTAGCTACTCAGGAGGCTGGTACATGAATCGCTTGAACCCAGAAGTCGGAGGTTGCAGTGAGCTGACATCAAGCCACTGCACTCCAGCCTGGGTGACAGAATGAAGGTTTGTCTCAAAAAAATATATATTATTTTACAGGAAAATACTTCAAAACACTTTGCAACTTTGGGGTGAAAATTAAATAAAACACTCTAGCCCCAAATTTAGTTCCCACTGAAAGGAAACTTTTGCTCCTTAAAAAAAAAGCATTCCATATATAGTAAATAATGATTTAGGTGATTTCGCCATTGTGCTAACATCATAGCATTTACACAAACCTAGATGGTATAGCCTACGGCACACCTAGGCTATATGGTATGGCCTATGACCCCTAGGATACAAACCTGTAATGTACGTTACTGTACTGAATCCTGAAGTCCCCTCCTCCTTGAAGCCAACCTAAGTTTTCTAAAGAGCACATCTCCCCCGCCTCTGGGCTCCTGCAACCTTCTGCCTGAGCCGTTGACAGCCTTCTCCAGGTTTGGCCAGGAAGCTGGACAGGGGAGGACGGGAGTGACAGCTCAGCCCCTTCCTAGCAGAGTGATCCTGCACAAATTACTCCAGGTGTCTGACCCTTCATTTCCTCAAGCACATCACTGGGGAAAGAATGCCTAGCTCAGTACCTGGCAGAGAGTCAGCCTTGGCTAATCTCCCATAATGGAGCTGACGCTCTTCAAGTCCGCGGACATCTTCTCTTAGTCATCTCTTGAAACGCTACCCGCTATTACTTCTCTGCTCCTCAGTCTCCTCCTATGCAAAATGGGGTTGAGAATGGAGATGTTGGGGAACTTTAATGAGCGAGCCCTTGGAGCCGTATCCAGCGCTTCCCGACGCTAAAATGACTCCTACGAGAGGGCCTGGTACACAGTAGGTGCTAAACTAATCCTCTCCGAACTGGGCTTGGGGAAGATGCCTCCGTGAGGTGTGCAGCGGTGGCGCGGGAAGGCGAGCCTGGGGGCGGGGGCCTTGCCGAGAGCCAGCAGGAGGTCGGCTCCGCCTTCCCCCGCGGCCGCCGCAGGAGCCCGGCCCGTCAGCCCGGCGTGCCTCGGCCCCAGTCCACCAGACCTGAATGTCCCAAGCCGGGACCCCAGCCTTACCGGACTGCACTACTTAACCCTGCGCGCGGTGGGCCTCGGTCCCGCCTCGGACAGCCATTGGCCCATTAGCGAGAGCGCGCCGCCGCCGTTGGCCGGCGGAGCTGCTAATCGCGTCGGGCGCTACCCCCGCCCGATACACCCCATCACCGACCCGCGCTCGGTGCAGTGCGTGGGGTGCTCCGTTGCTAGTTGCAGCTGCTGCTTCGCGTCCAGGGTTTCGGCTGCGACGCGGATGAGCTGGGCCTGCGGCGAATCGCGCCTGAGAGGCGGGCTGCAACGGGAGGCAACGGGCCCGAGGCCGCGTCCATGGGCCGGCGGCGTCCGGGCGCGGCTGTGCAGGCGGGCGCGGGGAGTTGTGCGCGCTGTGAGACCCGGACGGCGCAGGAGCTTCGGCGCGTGCAGCCAGCCGCCGGGGAGGAGGCTGGGCTGGGCCTGCGGCGGGGTCGGCGAGGGACGCGGCGGCGGCCGCGCTGAGCCCCAAACCCGCCGGAAGCTCAGCGCCGGCCTGGCTTGAGCTGCCGCGGCGCCGACTGTGTCGGCGGCCAAGGAGAAGCCGTGCAGGAAATTCCGGGCCAATATCTTCCAGAAGAGCAAGTGTCAGAACTGCTTCAAGCACCGCGAGTCTTATCTTCTCAAGGAGGAGGACCTGACGCAGGTGAGCGGCGGGGGCCGGCCCGAACACCTCGGTTCTGGGAGCCGTGGGCCGGGGGCGAGGGCGCCGCCGAGGGCTGCAGGGAAAATAAAAATGGAACAGGGAATTGTGCGAGTGCTGGGGCATGGGGACGGGAAGTGCGTTCATGGAGCCGGGACAAAGGGAAAATCCTGGAGTATGCAGAAGAAGAACATCCTTTCTCGTTCTCATTGCCCGGCTGTGTGATCACGCTTTTTGAGTGACTCAAAAAGTGCCTGGTTTCGCTTAGTAGGAACAAAGCGCTTGGGAATTGGAAGACGCTTGACGGGACCCCCGCCCTCAGAGTCTGGCTTGGGACCGGACTTGGACTTGTCTAGTCAGAGTGGTCCAGGAAGTAGGATTGTTGGCGGGGTGGGGACGACTGTGGGCTCCCGTCTTGTGGGACCCAGCCTGCCCTGATTCGGAATCGTCATCACCGTCAAGGACTGGATAGAGGTGAAGGGTGTCCAAGCCTGGCGAGGAGGGTCTGGGTCTTGAACTTAAGCTGGGAGGCTGTAGTTGAGGGGAGAGCTGGGACCGATTCCCTGGTCACTGGCCGAGGGGTGAGGAGACCTGTGGGTCCTCGGGAAAGTTGGTTTCTGTCTCCCAGCCTTCTGTGTCAAACAGGGCTTTGAAGTGGTTGTAGCCCCCAAACCTGCATTAGAGTCATAGCCATTAAACACAGATTCTGGGGTCCCCCACTCTGGAGTGATTTGGGAGATGGGGAATTCGTATTGCTAAAAGGCCCCAAGAGGCTTGGCTGCAGTCCCCAGGGCCCTCGGGAACCCCCGCAGTGATTGATGTCTAAACTCCTAGAGGTCCAGGATTCTGATCCTTGTGTGCACCTCCTTGGGATGTGCCTGGGTACCCTCCCCACAGCCATCATCTCCATCCTCCTCAGAGCTTTCTCTCAGCCTCCTGAATGAAGCCAGGGAAACTCCCTTCACATTCCAGTCCAGTGAGAACTAGTTGTAGCCACTCCTGTCACAGAAGAACCCCTTAGGTGGAAAACGTTGCTGTCGGTGTTCGGTGAAGGGGCCTGGTTGGTTTTAATGCCACTTCAGAGCACCCAGGGTTTGACTTGTTTACATGGCCAACTGGAATATGTTGGTGGGGCAGGGGTTATGGCCTGGGCACAGGGCCTTTCTCTGAGGTCGGGTTTCCAACCTCCTGGAAAAGATTCTTTTCATCTAAAACCAAAAAGCTTGATCAAATACTCAAGGCTGCAGAATCATAGATGGTTAAGATACCAAGGGCTTTAGGGAAGGTCAGCTTGGGACGGGTAGAACTCACTTGCCTGGGAAGGTGTTCTGGAGTGTAAAGGAGGGCTTGCTTCCCTCTTCTCATTTGGATGCTTTTTTCGGCGAAACAGTTTATGTGATGAGGAGGAGTTGGGAGATTTTGCTTCAAGTATTGGGCTGTCACTTCCAGCTGTGTGACCTTTGAACAAATCCCTTTACCTCTATATTTTAATTTTCTTCTCTTTAAATAGGGAATCCTGGTCCCTGGCTTACCTCTTTCACTGAGCGTTTGTGAAATGTTCTATTAAACTTTTTTCTCTTACACTTTAACAAACCAAAAGAACTGCCCACTTTGATTAAGAAGTTAGCAAGGTTCTGTCAGAGGTTTGCAAGTTTCCTGGTTATTCGAAGCAACTGCCAAAATTGGTAACTTTACACGTCATAAGGGCTGTTTGCGAATGCGAATTCTTAACCTTGGATGAAGTAGAATGGAATCTGCA